GATTTCCAAGATCATTTCTTTATTGTGGAAGATAATCATTTTAGAAATGTTTACTCTTTTGAGTCTTCATAAGTATTGATGTTAATTTGCCTTCTTTATGGGACACAATAGGAGCACAATATTAGGGGAAACATGAAGAGGAGTTATTAAAGGAGTACATCACACGTATTGCCCATAAGCATACAGTTGTATGTCGAAACGATGCGATTGGGTGAAACATGGCTAGTTGGGTGGTTAATTTTACTTGTATTTTGCATTGGACATTATTTTAATGTTGATGTGGAAATTTATATATATATATATATATATATATATATATATATATATATATATATATATATTAATATATATATATATATATATATATATATATATACATTATACATATATACATATATACATATAAACATGTATATATATATTGCTTAAAATGGTTGATAAATGAAATGGCAAAAGACAAAAGTTATCAAAGAAAGAAAGTGTTATTATAAATGATTTTTTTTATAATTTGATTATTTACTTTTCTTTTTCTTTTCTTTTAAGGTTAACAAGAAACAATTGCTCATGTAATGAATTTAATTTCATATATCTTGTAGTAAAGCGAAAAAAGGAATTTACTTATTGTGGAAGCAGTGAACGTATCTTTTATTGAAAATTAATATTATACTGCTCTCAGTTATGCCTTTAGACTGTATGGTTACTACTACTATTACTACCAAAGAAAATACAGGAAGATTTACAAAAGCTTCCCATTGACAAAGAAATCTTGAGTGATAGATCAGCACATTTGAATTTGTCTTTTGTGGAAGTTTGCTATTGGTAATTGTAAGTAATGATATCATGAAACAAACACACACACTAACTCACTTACTTATTTACTATCTCTCACTTACTCACACTCATTCTCATTCTCTTTAGTCTGAGCTATAAAAAAAAAGAAAAAAAAAAAGAAAAAAAAAATATATATATATATATATATATATATATATATATATATATATAATATATATTATATATATATATATATATATATATATATATATATATCCTTTCCCATGTATATCCTCACAAATAAACCTGCACATTAGCATGCACAAAGATGCACATGCCTGCACAAACACACACATGCATGCACACACTCTCACACTCACATACTCGCACTCATACTCACATTCATACTCACACCATCACCCTCACTCACACCCACACCCCATACCCACATCCGATACTCACACCCACACAACTCTCTCTTTATAGATAGAAATAAGAATGGTATAAGTGACAGTGAAGAATGAACTGCAAGAAACATAAAAATCTTGGGTGCATAAATCTTATGGCAGGGATAAGAATGTGGCTTGCTTCTGAATCAACGCATTGGAAATCAAAAATCCAGTTTTATCCTTGATATTTTCTTCTTGCATGCTTCCTTCCTTTCTTCACAACCGACTACAAATAGTGCTTAGATATTGCTTTCTCACTGAGCTGCTCTATGGATTCTAATCACAGCCAGCCAATACTGGTCAGATCGATGCCTAGAGACTGATAAATGAATTTCACTCTTGGAAGTCCGTAAGCTGATTTGAAATAGTGGAGGTTTATTTTAAAGTATCATAATTTTCTCTTAATTTCTTTATGTAAGCCTTTTTACTGTGATGAATACATTTTACATGATAGTTTTCTGGTCATTGTGTGAGTATACTACTTAAAACTGTATAAAAGTGAGTTATATAAATCATAGTTTTAATAAATCATAGCTTTATTGCATGTGGGACAATATGACAAGTTTGAGAACAAGTTTTGAAGGAAGATAGCCAAGTCTCTATATGGTTCATCATGGATATATTGTATCTAATTATGCCATTAGTTTCATGAGTGGAAATCATTATTTTCACACACACACACACACACACACACACACACACACACACACACACACACACACACACACACACACACACACACATATGTGTGTGTCTGTGGATATGATAAGAAAATTAGTACTTGAAGAAATCAGACAGTTCCCTTTGACTTTATGAAAATATAGTTGATATTGTAAAAAAAAAAAAGTGATTAGAATGTTAATTCTTCTTTTTTAATTTTTTTGTTTGTTATTTCATGATGGTTTTGCTTCTTTTCCAAAGCAGCAGCATAATGATTATAAAAAGTAATGAAAATGTAGTTGATGATTGCTAAATGTATTTTAACAGCTATGGAAATTCCAAGGTTTAGTAATCCATATCTTAAAATTAGTAGTTTACTTCTCTGAGTAGACACTGATATAGATTTCTCATGGTCTATTTCCACTCCCCCCCCCCCCACTCTCTCTCTCTCTCTCTCTCTCTCTCTTCTCTCTCTCTCTCTCTCTCTCTCTCTCTCTCTCTCTCTCTCTCTCTCTCTCTCTCTCTCTCTCTCTCTCTCTTTCTCTCTTTCTCTCTTTCTCTCTCCCCTCCCCTCCCCTCTCCCCCTCCCCCCTCCTCTCTTTATCCTTTGTCTCTGTCCC